CCCTCAAGCTCCTCCGCTGCGACTCGGTCCCGAGAGCCACCTTCCTGAGAGAGTTCTGCGTGGGCCGCTGCGTGTCCTCACATCCGGGCCTGCTGCGCACGCTGGGGCCCCCCCTGCAGACGCCCCGACACTTCGCTTTCTCCCAGGAGTTCGCGCCCTGGGGGGACCTCAGCGGGCTGCTCCAGGAGAAGGTGAGGCCACACTGAGCCAGGTCCACGCCCGGCCCCGTCCCCCGCGCCAGCTGAGGCAGGGAGCCTGAAGGGGTGGCAGGGACCAGTGGAGTGTGGCGGGTGTTGGGGTGGGCCTGCGGCGTGATGGAGGGGTTCGGAGTCTCAAGTGAGCTGGGGAGGTGGAAGGGGGGCTGGACGAGGACGCATCCAGGGTGGAGCTGAGGGGAGGGGCTGTGCCCAGGGCCCGAGGTGGAGCACCAGGGGGCTGGGGCAGTTTTCAGGAAGTTGGCTTTGAGATAGGGTTAGGGAGGAAGGAAGGGCAGGACGCAGGGAGGAGGGGCATATACAGTGACCAAGTGGTCGTGTCGCAGAGCGGCTATGGCTGGACACATCGTCCAGGGCGCTGGGGGTGGCCAGTGTCCCAGCGGCCACAGGCTGTGTAGGCCTCCCGCAGTTGGTGAAGGCATTGGGGTGTGGGTAGCAGAGATCCTGAGTTAGGGATGGGTCTAGGCTATGTGGCACGGAGGTGGGGTGAGTTTGGGCTTGGGCTCCCCCTGGAGAAACTCTGGGGCCAGCTTAGGGGAGACAGGAGCTGCTGGTGCAGACGAGGGAGGGTTGGGGTTGAGGGCGCCCCTGGGCCTGGGAGCCTGGAGGCGGCAATGTCCCTGGGCTTGACCTCATCCCCCCACAGGGCCTGCCGGAGCCCATGCTGAAGCGGGTGGCGGCCCAGCTGGCTGGGGCGCTGGACTTCCTGCACGGCCGTGGGCTGGTGCATGCAGACGTCAAGCCAGACAACGTGCTGGTCTTCGACCCCGCCTGCGGCCGCGTGGCCCTGGGTGACCTGGGTCTGACCCG